AAGTTCTGATGTTTTAACTTTTGTGTTGTTTTATTTTCATTGGTCAGTTATGTAGCATTTCGTAATTTTGTATGTATGTTCAGCAGTCATTGCGTCTATTGGTTTTATCGTTTGTTGATTTGGGAATGTTTTTAGAACGATTTGGGAACGCTTTTAGGTACACTGTGTCTGTACATGTGTATGTATGTATTTTCTAGGGTTCAAGAGTCATTGCCGTCCTCACGAAAATCAAAGACATTGGTCAAACTTGCCAGTGATGGTCATCCTCGTAGAACGAATCGATAGCAATCATGTGTGCATGTATTTCTGTCGTTTTAAATGTTAGGATTCTTAGTCGGTACAAGTGGAGTTTGTTTTTCTCTATGAAATATCAATCAATAATTCCCGTTTTATTTTAAAGTTGATTAAAAAAAGTAAATTCAGTTTTGGAGATTTTATATGTTATAAGCTAAATATAAAAAGTTTTAAAACACAAATATTTAAACGTCATTCAGTCTTACTCCGGCGTCTTCTCTTGGGAAAATTTCTCAAGAAATATAGTTCTTATTTAGTCAATATAAAATTTCTTTGTAAAGAATGTTAAATCAAAGTATGGATTTTAAAACTTTTTCCTCGCATATAAGATTTCTTCATGTCCGACAGTGTTGACATATTCTTTGACATCTTCCGTGTTTTGAACGCAAGGTCAAAGAGCGCATTTTTATTTTTATTTTTTTACTGTCTTAATAACTATCCTTACTATTTCTTGTTTTGCTACCCATTTACACAAGTTTATTGATTAGATTACTCTTTCTTTCACGCTGTCCTTCTTGTGATATCCGAAGTTGTGTCTGCTCAATACCTAGATGAATGACCATTTAAGAATACCAGTTGGCATCTTAAGAGAGATAGTCTCTACGTAGTATTCTTTGCTACTTTGATTTCAGAATATTCTTTCATCTAGACTGGCTTCCACACCAGGCAAGCGAGAACAATATGTTCCTGGCATTTAATAAATTATAATTTTAATTTAATGGAATGTCCTTTCAGGACGTAAGCGATCACAGCTCTCTACGGGTTCTTTTCTTATTAGGACCACTGTATGTTGAAACACGGGTTCCCGTACGGTTAAGCAACGTCGAGGCTGGCCAGTACCTAGATGGTTGACCGTTTGGAAATACCAGGTTCTGCAAGCTTGGATGTGTAGTTACTGTAATGATTAATGGCTCGAAATTGTTTAGCGGGAAGCCGAGTTGCAAATATTAGTCAATACCATAGGATTGGTTTTAATACAAAATCTTTATAGAATTGTTCTGCCGCCATTAATGGAGTTTCTTTCTTCGAGTGTCCTCCTCGCAACTATACCTGTGCTATCACATTTTTCTAGTCCTTTCATTCGCTCGTTTATTTTCCTTTTCTGTATAATATTACTTGCTGGTTATTCGCTGTTGTTCCGTAAGTGCCATGTCCTGTGGACGCCCACAAACTCCGTTTCACCATTAAAGGAGCTGATGTCAGGAACTTGAAGAAGAAACTGAAAAGAGTTTGGAATACTCTACTTCCAACCTTTTCCTATTTCAGATACCTAGACCACTCACTATAAATATATACAAAAAAATGCTAATTTAGTAGATCTGTCAACTAACTTAATAACGTTGAATCTACTATAGACGTCATCTTTGAAACTGAAACCAACTACACTCTTCCCTTTCTAGATATCTTGTTACACAGAAAAAATGACGAACTGAATTTAAGCGTTTATCGAAAAGGTACCAACAAAAAATGACCTGCTCAATTTCTACTCAAACCACTCTTCTAAAATTAAATATGGAATTATTATAGGTTTCTGTTTGAGAGCATTAAGAATTTGCAGCCCCTAATATTTTCCTAAAGAAGAAACATGCATAGAAAACACATTCAAAAACCTATAATACCCATATAATTTAAATCCACAATGTAAGAAGAAAGGCATACAAAATATACAACCGCAAGAAAAATAACAACATCATACGTAATAATAAATTATATGAGAACAGATATATAAAACTACTGACCAACTCCGTCACGCCCACTATCCAGAACAACTTATCCCATCTAAATAATGTCAAAATAATCGCAAGTACTTCCAAAACCATTATGGATATACTCAGATCCTCAAACACTCATGGCAATAATATTCCTGAAGCAGGCATATATAAAATAAGTTACCAAAACTGTTCCTCACAATAAATTGGAGAAACATGCAGAAATTTAAAAAAAAAACGCATATATGAGCGCAAAAGAAAGCTTATAAATAACAATTTAACAAATGCACAAGTTATGCATAGAAATAAATTCAACCACCAATTTGATTTTATAAAGGCTATACTCATAAAAATAGAAAATAATTCACTCAGAAGGAAAATCCTCGAAAGTGCCGCCATTGAGTATTCTCCAAATATTAATCTACGCTCAGGTTTTTCCCCAATATCACCTTTCCTAACAGAATCGCTACTCTCCCAAACCAACGTACACAACAAATATGTCAAGAAATCAAAAGAAAACGGTTGAATCCACCAACACAACAACACAAACAATATTTCTACACGTGAAAATATTGTCTTCAAACAGTACTTGACGTAATTTTTCAGTTGACCATATGAATATTTAATAGCGTTTCTAAATTCTTCTAGTTGTTAACGGCATTATCTTTGTTGTTTATAGATACACTGTTTAAATAAATTCATTTCTTTTTTTTTTGCCTTGAAATATTATTCCAACACGCTACGTAAGAGTTCTCATGTTTCAAAACAAGAGCCGAAAACTTATTTTCTATATATTTTCACACACACACACACACACACACACACACACACACACACACACACACACACATATACATATATATATATATATATATATATATATATATATATATATATATATATATATATATTGTCCTGTTTCTTGTCTTTTATTATTGTTTATTGTAAACTTTGACAATTCTGTTTGTTGGGCATTTCTTACAACTAAATTTAACCATGATCAATTACTCTACAAGTAATAACGGTAAGGAAGCTGTGAAGAGACATGATCATAGCCGTTTTCTAAGGATATTGCATTTTTTATACAGATATCTGTTCATCTTAATACAGTTATTATCACGTGAAAAAGAATTGACAGTTCTGTTCTTGAAAGATTTTTATCCCGACTAATTAAGGTAAAGTGAGGAAGAGGAAATATTTTACAAATCAACAGTTTTATTTCTCTTCTCATTTCGATCAAAGTATTGATAAATGTCCAGAAGTTATTTTCCTTAATTTAAAAATTCCCATGAATATTGACATTCAAAATTACTTTCTTCTTCTTCGTTTTCTTCTTCTTTTTATTATTATTATTATTCTCCTCCTTCCTCTTTTTCTTCTTCTCCTCCTCCTCCTACTTCTTCTCCTTCTCCTCCCCCCTCCCCCTTCTTCTTTTTCTCCTCCTTCTCCTTCTCCTTCTTCTTCTTCCTCTTCTTCTCTTCTTTAAATACTCGGTGATCAGTGGCAGAAGAATATTGAAAATGGTGGACACAATTAATAAATTAATAAATTTTGCCTTTTCGTTATCTCTCCTAAACCCTGCTCGGCCATCCATTTTCTCGCTAGTTCATAAGTTGTTTTACATGTCCCTCTTGCCTTCAATCCTTCCTGTGAGTATCAAATTTACCAACCCCTATTTCCTCATTATATGCCATACAAAATTCCGCACTGCCTATTTCTGATGTTAAGTAAACGTGGATTTTTAGCTTCCATTTTCTCTAAAATTTTGTCATTGTTCCCATGTTCCGTACATGGTATTCTCATCATCCTTCTGCAGAACCGCATTTCTGTTGCTTCAAGTAATGTTACAATCGTCACTTTTTTGTACAGTATATATATATATATATATATATATATATATATGTTATAATTATTTTTAAAAATATGATTACTTCGCTACATAAGAGTTCTCATGTTTCAAAAACAGGAGCCAAAAACTTCAATATAATTATTAAAATTAAATTGAAATAAAGTATCAAGCTCTGTTTCATCCTCAAGCGAAATTTTTGGAATAACTAATCTTGAAATTTACGCAGCTTTATAAGCATATTCATTCGTAAAATTAATTACTGTGGAAACGGCGGAAACAATTATATATATATATATCCACAAACATACTGTTTCGCTGTATCACAGCTCATCAATGTGGCTAGACGTCCGGTTGTCTTTAGCTAGGATTGAAACCCAACTGAATTGGCGTCAGTTGGAGATTCTACCACTAAGCACAGCAGGAATAAAGGTGAATTTTAGCGTATTTATTTTTAGATAAACACACAGTGTCTGAGAGAACTCGATTCGATTTGTCGAAGAGTTTTGCATTATTAGCCGTAATAGTCACTGCTTGCAAACCCACACTTCCTCCCCAGAGAGCTCAACCGAAATAAATTTTTCAGGAACATATATATTGTCATCTACAGACAAACTGTTTCTCTGTATCACAGCTCCTCAGTGTGGCTAGACGTCCGATTGCCTCTAGCTAGGATCAAAACTAGACTGATATATATATATATATATATGTGTGTGTGTGTGTGTGTGTGTGTGTGTGTTTGTGTGTGTGTGTCTATGTGTGTGTGAAAGTTTTGGGATGTCAACGAACAATTGTTACCACTTTTGTAATGTCAACGAATACTCGTTGTCACTTTCGTAATGCTCGTTGTAGTAGAGACTTTGTAATCGCAGATACAACTATAGTAACGCCGTTGAACAATGCTGGTGTCAGACGCCTTCGAATAGCACACGCACTGATAGTACTTGCTCGATAATACTCGCTCGAATAGTAATCACCGAATAGTGATCAGTATAGTGATTAGTATCGAAAAATAGTGTAGAAATAGTGAATACTATAGAGAATAGCGATCCGTATAGTAACAGAGGATAGAATAGAAATGATAGTTCTTTAGACGTCACGCCCCATATATACTATTTAGAAAGATAGAAACAGACTGAATAGGTAGAAACAGAATAGATAGATAGATAGATAGATAGATAGATAGATAGATAGATAGATAGATAGAAACAAACTGAATTGATAGATAGATAAATAGATAGAATCAAACTGAATAGATAGATAGAAACAGACTAAATAGGTAAAAACAGAACAAATAGATAGATAGATAGAAACAAACTGAATTGATAGATAAATAGATAGAATCAAACTGAATATATAGATAGATAGTAACAGACTAAATAGGTAAAAACAGAACAAATAGATAGATAGATAGATAGATAGATAGAAACAAACTGAATTGATAGATAGATAAATATACGTCACGTCCCATATATACATTTATTTTCCGATCATGTGGTCTACGTATTACAAATATTAAAATTCTGGATGACTTTATATAAGAGAATTGTGGCCCAAAATTAATAAACTCAACTATAAGTATAGTAACAAAGTTCTTAAATATTTCTACCAGCAACGGGTTATATAAAACAAATACTAAATTAAAATACTACAATTACAAATTTTAAAAACCACATGTTAACTCCCTTGGATAGCGGCGAAAAATATTTAGAATTTGCGGTGTAAATGCATAACACATCCATAGATATGCAATAATAATGGTAATGAACTGTTTGTTATTATCGTTAAGAATATTAAAAAAAAAATGAAAATCCTAAAGAATGTAACGAATTGTTCTTCACCATTATAAGTCCGTGAAGATTGTATTTAACATGAATCTCGGTGTCGCACTATCGACGTAAGGTAATATGTATACTTATTATATATATATATATATATGTGTGTGTGTGTGTGTGTGTGTGTGTGTGTGTGTAAATTGATGAAGCAAACGAAGTGAATAGTTGTTGTTCCTTAAAATTCGTTTTCATTTTTTAAAGAAATTGTTAATTTTGTATGAATAGAAAGTAAAGAGAACACGAGGCAGGTTGATATGAATAAAAGAACAGACTGGGGTCGGAATCGACAGGGCAGGATGAGGGTAAAAAATATTACCCACAACACTCAAAAGAATAATCACAGATAGATAAATAGATAGAAACAGACTGAATAGGTAAAAACAGAGCAAATAGAAAGATAGAAACAACCTGAATTGAAAGATAGATAAATAGATAGAATCAAACTGAATAGATAGATAGATAGATAGATAGATAGAGAGATAGATAGATAGATAGATAGAAACAGACTGAATAGGTAAAAACAGAACAAATAGATAGATAGAAACAAACTGAATTGAAAGATAGATAAATAGATAGAATCAAACTGAATAGATAGATGATAGATAGATAGATAAATAGATAGATAGATCAGACTGAATAGATAAAAACAGAACAAATAGATAGATAGAAACAAACTGAATTGAAAGATAGATAAATAGATAGAATCAAACTGAATAGATAGATAGATAGATAGATAGATAGAAACAGACTGAATAGGTAAAAACAGAACAAATAGATAGATAGAAACAAACTGAATTGAAAGATAGATAAATAGATAGAATCAAACTGAATAGATAGATAGATAGATAGATAGATAGAAACAAACTGAATTGAAAGATAGATAAATAGATAGAATCAAACTGAATTGATAGATAGATAGATAGATAGATAGATAGATAGATAGAAACAGACTAAATAGGTAGAAACAGAACAAATAGATAGATAGATAGATTGATAGATAGATAGAAACAAACTGAATTGATAGATAGATAGATAAATAGATAGAATCAAAATGAATTGATAGATAGATAGATAGATAGATAGATAGATAGATAGATAGATAGATGGAAAAAGATTAAATAAATAAAAACGGAACAAATGCATAGATAGATTGATAGATAAATAGATAGATAGAAAGAAACAGACTGAATAGATAGAAACATAACAGATAGATAGATAGATAGATAGATAGATAGAAACAGACTGAATAGGTAGAAACAGAACAGATAGATAGATAGATAGATAGATAAATAGATAGAAACTGAATTGATAGATAGATAAATAGATAGAATCAAACTGAATAGATAGATAGATAGAAACAGACTAAATAGGTAAAAACAGAACAAATAGATAGATAGATAGAAACAAACTGAATTGATAGATAGATAGATAGATAGATAGATAGATAGATAGATGGAAAAAGATTAAATAAATAAAAACGGAACAAATGCATAGATAGATAGATAATTAGATAGATAGAAAGAAACAGACTGAGTAGATAGAAACATAATAGATAGATAGATAGATAGATAGATAGATAGATAGATAGAAACAGACTGAATAGGTAGAAACATAACAGATAGATAGATAAATAGATAGATAGATAGAAACTGAATTGATATATAGATAAATAGATAAAATCAAACTGAATAGATAGATAGATAGAAACAGACTAAATAGGTAAAAACAGAACAAATAGATAGATAGATAGATAGATAGAAACAAACTGAATTGATAGATAGATAAATAGATAGAATCAAACTGAATTGATAGATAGATAGATAGATAGATAGATAGATAGATATTAAATAAATAAAAACGGAACAAATACATAGATAGATAGATAAATAGATAGAAAGAAACAAACTGAATAGATAGAAACCTAACAGATAGACAGATAAATACTGAATAGATAGATAGATAGATAGATAGATAGATAGATAGATAGATAGATAGATAGATAGATAGATAGATTGTAAGTGATGAAGACATACACAAAAATAATATAGAAAACATTGATAAAAATCTTTAAAAATATACATATAATTTAACTTCTACAAGACAAACATATTTCGTATTTGGTTACTTTACTTATGAATATATTCAAAGTAAATATTCTAAAAAAAGCTGAATACAATGGAGAATTGAAATTGTATGCGTACTTGATTTATAGTCAAAAATCTCGATTTTTTGTAAAAAAAAAATGTAGAAAATCGGTTGGCCGATAAATAAGATGGCGTCGCTAACAATGAAAATAGACTGAAGGAACTGAAAATAGAAAACAGTCTTTACTCTATAAATTCCTGTTCAATGTTCAATATCAGTTTTCTTGGAGAGGGTACTGAGCAAAAGCGTTTATTGGTCATGAGTGCTACATCCGAGTTACATATAAAGCCGTAGTCACGACCTTTAGTACGAGGTTTCTTGCCAATTGAATTTCAAAGACTTGTGGAAATATTCTATACTGACGGATGGATGGAAGGGTGGATTTTACCAGATTCATTAATCGATCTGATTTAAAACTTATTAATCAACCCTAGTAATTGTGAAGAGAAATAAATGAACTTGATTTTGAAACCTGTTTCATTATTCTATCTTGTTTCATAGCTTTGTTGACTTTACATATGGGAAAAAGTTACGTAAACGTTTATATATCAGAACAGTTGTAGGAATGGCAAAGTGGGAAGAATTTTCGTGTGACGTGTTTAGTTCTTTCGGATTCCCGGGAAGTACTAAATTCCTATTTGATATATTACCTTACATAGACAAAGAACACCATTGGAAAATTCGTAAACTTAAGGAATCAGCACATATGCTAGGCTACAAAAATCTCCTGAGCCAACCAAGCATAGAAATGAATACAATATGGGAACCAGTAATAGGGAGTGCCAGAGAAAAGGGATAATAACAGAAATAATTGCAATATGAGCGCTGGTAAAAACAAAATGATAACAGCAAAAAATGACAATATGAACACTGGTAAAAAATGATTGCTGAAGACATTACGTTTATAATACCTAGAAATTCATACACAGATGCCCTCACGGACACATCGCACAGTTGATAAAGGCGTTACTTAGATCCAGTGATAGGATCCAAAACAGTGTGAGTTCAATACCCGGTTAATGCAGTGGAGAACTTTCAGAGGGAAATTAACAGGAGATAACTGATATCCATTAAACATGGCACGTGGAATTGCAATATGAGCTCTGGTAAAAACATGTAATGATAACAGCAATATGAGCACTGGTAAAATGGTTGCTGAAGACGTTAGGTTTATAATACCCAAAAAATTCATACACAGATGTCCTCAAGGATACATGGCACAGTGGATAAAGGCATTGGTTAGATCCAGTGACAGGACCCAAAGAGTGTGAGTTCAATACCCCGTTATGGCAGAGGGGAATTAACAGGAGATTACTGATAACTGGCACGTGGAACTAGAACAGTCTACCCCAGTGAGCGAAATAAAGGGTTCAGTTCGACATTCCAACCACCTGAAGAAGGCCGGAGCGTACAACGGCCGAAACGTTGTAATAAATATGACAACAAAAATGTGGACAATAGTCCGAATAATGTAAATAGTGAATATCGCTTTACATATCAATCAACCCTCGTAATTTTTAAGAGAAATACATTTCCTTCATTTTATTGGCTGTTTCGTTTCTCGTTTAAAGGCCTTACTTGTATACCAACTCTCGTAACTTTAACGTAAAATAAATTAATTTTCATTCTTCTACCTTTTCTAAAATTGTTTTCGTCAGATTACAGGCATTAAATTATGAGTAAAATCTCGTATATTTTCAGGTTTCGTTTGGTAATAACCAAAACCAAAATAACTTTCTCTTATATTATAGTTTTATTTTTGGCATTCAGTATCGACTGTTTTTATCTTCATAAATCTTTTCTTCAATTATTTTTTATCTGCCATAGGTAAGGCATAACGTATCATGAATATTCCGCTTATTAACTATTTCTGTCCGCGGTCTAATATTTATTATTATTATTATTATTATTATTAGAGGTGGCGGGTTTCACACATTCACTGCCCACTGAGTAAAAGAATATTTTCTTTAGTTCAGCCGGCAGAGACGCGGTTGACATTTAAATAGACGGCCTCGATGGATTTAACGTATGTCACCATTTGAGTTTACTATTCTAAATACCTGTACTAAATACCTGTACTAAATCAAGTCTAATTTATTTAAATATTTGGTGGTCAGGGGCTTCTTCTTTTTCTTTTTTTTCTTTTTTTGTTGTTGTTTAATATACTTATATTATTTTATGTGTGTAGTAAATAATATATAAAAGATTATTAATACTATCAGTCTAATCTCTGTCTGAGTGTGCGTTTTATGGTCTGTCTGAAGGTGGGTGTGTCCCAATGCTTCAGGACACAGTCATGTGTACGCACGTAATAAAAGTGTTTGCAACAAAAGGCAACTTCCAAGTTGAAATTTGAAACGTGGACATGTTTACAATATCAAAATAGACTAATAATATTTATTAAGAGTGTCTCTTCGACGTGTGCAAAGGTAGAATGTATCCATCGCATATAACTTTGACAGCTGCTGCAGTATTCTGAAGAAGTTCATCACTACGTATGCTGTTTTCGATGTGTGACACTTTTTCATGGAAAGCCGTTTAAAATAAAATGAAAAATAAATAAAAAACGAAAAAGGGCGATGCGGAAAATGAATAACACGAGGAGTCAAATTAGAGAAAAAAACGTAAGTACTTAACGGACATTTTCGAGCGAATGAAATTTTTTTAATTTAAAAGGGGAAAAAATAGAGAAATACGGATAACAACTTTCTGTGGGAAAGTACGATTAAAATAAAAGGCTATGCAGAAGAAAAGGAATCATGTCACTGTCAACGATTCTGGAATTGAATAACTTTTGCGTCTGATTTGTTTACGGCACTTGGTTCGCAGTTCAAAAGCGCCATCGCACGCCAGGTTCAAATATCAACCAATAAATGACAGGAACTGACATCTCAAAACAACAATAACAAGAAAAAAGATTTTTTGACAATAACGATAGAAATCTACCTTTGATCATTTGGCGTAGATTTCAAAACGAAAAATAAAAATGCAGAGAAGGTGAAAAAGATTAGCGACTGTGCTTTCCTTTTTTTTTTTCTTTTTACAACGTCAGAGAAGAGCGACCGAGTGAATGAATAAAGCAGACGACCAATGGACTAGCAAAAACAGAAGAAAACGAAAAATAAGTACTTCACAAGAACCGAGATACTGGAAATGATACAGTCATCACTTTTTTTTTCTTTTTTTTTTTTTTTTTTTTTGCATACTTTCAAGTAATACCTGACTGGTGTAGTGTTGCCTGAAGACATTTCAGACATGAGTGAGCACAACATAATTATAGGTGTGTAGAAAAGCTTTCAAAAGATATAATTCGTTTTGTTTAATTCTTTACCTTCCTCCCTTCCATCTTTCTTTGGTGGATATTTTCTAATTAAATATTTTCTCCCGAATATTTTTTTATTCATGGATCTTATTTTATTTTTTTGAGTCAACGTTTTTGACAGCTATCCAAGGGCATGAGCAAAAACTGATTCTTAAAAGGGCAATAAACAAGTATATTTTTTTTAACTCGCTGGTATATCCCCGTCGTAAAGTAATGGGCACACGGGAAAAATTCAAGAGATAGAAAAATTCTTGAAAAATTTATACATTTACGTAGAGGAAATGGGGTTTAAAATACGCGAACGTAGGTTATAATTATATTACGATCGCAAACCATGAAGATGTGGAATCGCTGAAATTTTGATTTAATTTATTATACGTGTCTGGACATATAGTCTAGCCGATCTCATTCAGTTTCCTTAAGTTATTTTTTTTTGTTTTTATCGTTTTTGTTTTTAATTATCCCACAATGTAATAATCTCCCAAGAAAATTGAAAATGTTGCAAGGACCTGTACGGAAACCTAACGTGGTTGATTTAGCAATCAAAGCACTTTCTATACATTTTCACATAAGTAAATTGTAGTAGTAAATTTTAATTAAAGTAGCGTTTTTTACTCGAAATTACGGTCATACTCATTCAGTTTAAAATTTAAATTTCAGAATTCCCACATCTACATGATTTTCGCTCGATTTATAATAAAAATGGACTCGCGATTTTACATCTCCTCTTCCAGAAAACATAGCATTCTTTGAAAGAATTACGTCAGTCCGATTACAGCATTCTAGAGGGCGAAACGCGCTACACAGAACTTTTCCCCAGGAAGTTAATCTTAATTCCACTTTTATTGCTCTTTCAAGTATTGGTGTTAGTCTTAATTCCACTTTTATTAAACTTTCTAATATTAATGAATGGTTCGTTTCCGACTTTTTGTTTAATGTAGAATGGGACGTCAATATTTTATTTTTCTCCGTCCTGATCACGGGTGCAGTTCCATTTTAGCTGTTTTCTTACTAAATACAGAAATTTGTAAAATCTTATTTTTCAATGAGTTTTTCAGGAAGTTTTCAATCTCACAGTTTTCGATCTTTTTAGTACTGATGGAAGTTTCATTTCCAAGCTTTTTGCTTAAAGCAAATTGCAATTCCCATGTTGTTTATATATTTGCCTTTCTAATTATATCTGATATCCATTTTAGTTGCTACTTTCCCATTTGTCATTCACACACACACACACACACAGACACACACACACACACACACACACACACACATATATATATATATATATATATATATATATTAAATAAACGTGCAATCAATTTACAAATACATGAATTATTCACACAAAACTAATGCAAGGTTAATGATTTAAATAGAGACATCCATCATCGCAAACAATTCAAATAGTATACAAAACCTCCAGATACGTTATGAATGAATTGATCCTTGTTTATATAAATTTCTGCCGTATTAGTTGTTATTTTTACTACAAGCTTTCGTCTGTTCCTACAGACATCTTCAGGTATAGAATATAGAATATTTGGTATGAACGCAAACACTTTAA